GATACAGTGGTCGTGCTGTTCTATGGCTGACTCCAGTTAGCCAATAACTGACCATGTCCTGTCCCATGAGTAGCAAGCATTGTGACAGCACAGGAGTTCAATGGGTAAAGTACTACTTCAGCCATGAAACAAACACCCTAATCTGAAAGACAAGCATAGGCTTAGACCATGAATTAATCTACACTAGCACCAGCCACCTGCAAACTTGAGCCCTTTCCAGAATTTTAAAAAAGGAGAGTGTTAGCACTTGAAAAAGTTTCAACAGAAAATGGCCACTTTAGGGCTGGGGATTTAGCTCAGTGGTTCCACTGCCTGCCTTGTAAGTACAAGGTCCCGAGTTCAATTTCCAGTACCAAAAAGAAAAAAAAGAAAAAGAAAATGGCCACTTTAAACTTTAGCTAAACTTAAAATTATATGGAAAATGTAAAACAATCAGACTAAAACTTCTCTCTGGGATTGACTTTTCCTTCAGTCTAATAACAGAACACACTTAAATCTCAGTATACTTGAAAGTAATACACAAAAATATATGTTAATATATATATAATGATTAAGAACAAGAATCTAAGTTAGTGCTTCTCTGTGTTAGAGAGGTCACAGCTAAAGTCCTAGTGGTATTGTCTCAGATTGTCACCCATATGTCAAGCTAATTTGGACGTCTCTACCCAATAATACTCCAACTGTTCTTAGAAGAGGGCAGAGTGGTCTTGATCCATTGGGGTATCTCAGTGGCTATCACAGTTCCACAGTGATATGATTACTTTTATGCTAGGGGGGAAAAGCTGGTAATTAAACTTTGTGACCTTTTCCTTACTGAAATGAAAACATCACAAAAGTGAAAGCAAATCCCTCTCTACACTGTAATCTTGAAAAGCACCTATGTCTCTGTACAAAACTCTCTTGGCTTTCTTAAATATTGACATCGCTCCTTCAGACAAGTGTTCTCAGTATGAGATGCCAGGGAGGAACTAGGGCTGCTACTCACCGAGTATGAGGATAGAGTTTAACAACAGTGCATTCACAGTGCTGACCAAGGGATCTTATACACTTTCATCACTGGTCAGCATTGTCATCATACTGGTAAAAGGAATTTTTGCTGCTAGTCCTAAAGACATATTCTTCAAAAGTCATTTGAGTAGCTCCAGCAAATTTAAATAGAGTTTATTCTGGAAAAGGACCAACTTAAGGTATGGATTTATGGAATGATCACATGGAAAGTGCTTTTTATGAGTCCATTTATTAAGCTCAATAGCATAGGCTTCTACAGTAAACATACATTGGTGATTTCCACAAGTTCTAGCTATGCAGCAGATAGAGTCCTTACATACAGCTGCTGAGCCCTGGATTCTAGGCATAGTCATGGGGATTAAAAAACCCGAGTAGTCTTTCTGAGGCTCAGAGAAGAGGAAAAATTCTCCCTGTAAAACATCGATCTTCTCTGTTTACTCCACACCATTATGAAATTCCATTGCAACTGGCAATGAGCAGAGCCGTCCAGCAATTCCTATCATAAGAATGCTATCATAGCACTCCGCAGATTTTAGCTAGCTTCTCCCATTTCTCCCATAAACATGACCTCCAACTGCATACATTTTACCACAGCATTATACACATTTGCAGCCTATTCTGGCCTGAAGCAAGGATGGTTTGGAAGCCATCTATCTACTGGTGATCCAGAATCATTTTCTCTCTGTGGTCTATGGAGACCTCACTGCTGCTTGGCCAGAACCCTCTTGAAATGTAAATGTCATTACCTGGTGATACAAGAATTCCAGCTTCTCCCACATCATTTAGTGGTTTGCATAGTTTAAATAATCTTTCTGCAACTATAGCTAGACAAGGCACTCTTTGGTTCTTTCCTGAATGTTTGTGAGCAGCATAATCACTTTGGAAGCAGTCATTCCAAGCCTCTGTGTACAGCCACTGGTGCTAGATGGTCCCTTTTCTACACAGCTTTTGGCTATAACCTGTCAAACTGAGGTGGAATTTTCTCTATAATGGTGTCTTCCACCAGAGGAAAATGGATGCATTTGGCAGAAATTTCAGGAAAGTGTACCTCTCTCTCATTCTGTTCATGCTCAAACCATCTTACAATGCTTTCATAAGTGTGGTTTCTTTTATGATCTAAGTTTAAATCATCACTGTCTGATATGCCTACCATTTGGTCTTTCATCAGCTGGAAAAACTCTTGTTCTCTGATGACACATAGAAACTTTTTACAAATGTATTCTTTTGATCAATCTCCAAGTTCCTGATTACCATAATGATCAGCAAAAATAAAGACCCCAATAGAATTTTGTATGTCCAAATGACTGATCATAGCCAGGCATGGCGGCACATGCCTGTAATCCCAGCACTCAGGAGGCTGAAGCAGGAGGATTAGTGAGTTTGAGGCCAGCCTGGGCTAAAAAGTGAATTCAAGGCCAGTCTGAACTACAGAGCAAGACCCTGTCTCAAAAAAAAAAAAAAAAAATGACTGATCATTTACTCAGCACATTGATCTTGGATGGAAGGAATCTGGAAGATGCTAACTGCAGTGAACAAGACTTGAACATTAGCCTCTGTCAAATAACTCTAGAGGTGTAGGCATAATTCAATACCAAATCCATCAATTCAGCTTCAACACCGACTATTTGAACTTTTTGAGTATTTTCTGTAAGGCCACTAGTGAACATGCAAGTGAGGACTGATTGCAGCAAGAATGTTTTTATGATAGGAAAATGTTTTCCCATGAACCATCTTCCACTCTAATGTCTGTCAGTTGCCCTTCACTGTGCACTGTTTTGAGTTGCTTAAGAATGCTGCAAGCATGGAAGGTATCTATGGCATTGTCAGCCATGTCTGAAGAGGGACTCCCATTCAATGTTGGGAAGACTTATTTAAATTTCTCTGCTCCTGTCTTGGCCCCTTGTTGCCACTTCCTCAGCCTGCAGCTAGCTCGGGGCTCCAGCTCACCTCCACCATCCCTGCATACCTCCCCACAACACCACATCTTCGGATATTTCTGCTCTTGTTAGTACCCATCTGTAGTAAAAGTCTACCTCCCCACAACACCACATCTTCAGATATTTCTGCTCTTGTTAGTACCCATCTGTAGTAAAAGTCTCTCTACAGCAAGTTCTCTGCAGATTTTTCCTGTGATATCTGCCTCCACACCACTGATGGGCCATTAGCTTCTATTTTCTGCTTAGTACCAGGCTTCTTGTGTATCCCTACAATGCTGAAGAACAAATTACTATTTGTGGCCCTCCAGTTTCATTTCAGTGTTTAACCCATGACATTTGCTTCTAACTTCATTTCATTCTCAAATTAGGGCAGTCTAATAAGCAATCTAAAAAGTAAATGCCAAGCCAGGAAAAAAAGTTTGCAGTATATATCACAAACTCTTGCCAGGTGTGGTGGCACACCTATAATTCCAGTACTCAGGCTTGCTGTGCCTTCAAGACCAGCCTGGGCTGCATAGTAAGTTCAAGGCCAGCCTGAACCACACAGCAAGGCCTTGTCTCAAAACACAAACAAACAAACAAACAAACTATATATATATTTTATATATATCACAAATTCTTAATACATTTAATATAAATTTATGTTTACTAAACCAGCAAACAAAAAACAAACTGAACAGTAGGAAAGTGATAAGATACATACAGACAAATCTTAAAAAAAAGATATATAGCTAGATTTAGCTCAGTGGTTTCGCCACCTGCTTTGCAAGCACAAGGACCCAAGTTCGATCCCTGGTACCAAAAAAAAAAAAAGAAAAAAAAAGATATATAGCTAGAAAAACATACAAGACAATTTTAAAATAATAAAGTCACACATTTGTTTATCAACTGGATAAAAGTACTTTATAAATACTGTACCTCAGAGTGTGATGTTAATAGCTGTTTTTATATCTTATCATGTTTATATTTGATTTATCAATTTAAAAACTTTTCACTTTAGAAAATAAATACAGGGCATGAGCATATAATTCAGCGGTAAAGTACCTGCCTCACAGGCCGAAGGCTTGGAGTTCCAGCACTACAGTACTATCAAAAAAAAGAAAGAAAACATGTGTAATGTGTATATTAAAAATAATATATTGAAAATAAATCACTTTGGAACCAAAAAAATCTAGGCTTATATAGACATATATATACATAAATGCATATGTTAGGGAGCTCAAAGTAAATGATTTATTTTTAATTAATAAATATACATTTGAAGATACATATATATTTAAATGTATATATGCACACATATACATGAGTTATGTATTTATATATATGTGTCTGTCTATATAGAAGTAGGTATAATATGTAGTATTACCCTAGAAAGGTAAAGATGTGAGGAAATAAAGATTCTCATATTGTGATATGAGGTAAATTGATGTAATGTTTGAATTACAGTTCAGTTACATGTATTTTTAAAAAGCTCCACTGCCTACCTTTTGACATAGTAATTGTTCTTCTAGGGATTTATTATAAAGAAATTCTTATGCACAAAAATTTAGCTGCCAATGCTCATTCCAGTAATGTTTGTAATATTGCGAAATGGAAACTACCCACCTGCCTGTTATGAGGGCTGATTACATAAGCTGTGGCATAGATGAAAAGGGATTACAGTTATGTAAGCTTGATGCACAACTCTTCTGTAGGTCACAGATCTATACTTTGCCTTGAAAAATCACTGAAAATCTGGTTAACACTTGTTTCCCTGTCTCAGACATAAATAGAAAAAAAAATCACTTTCCTCTTTGGGTATTTGCTGGGACCTGTTACAAGTATCTGCTGTCCTCTCCTGACCCAAGAAACATTCATCTGGAGCACAGTGAGCCCTAGAGCATCATGACAGAGACCTAGACTTTTCCTGTTTTGTTTTTTATTGATTGCATTCTGCATGTCTTCTGGTAGGTCTGACATTTTTATGTCTCCTTCCAAGTGAGCCGAAACAATAACTCCATGTCATGATGTCCACCCTTGGACCTGGCGGTTAAATTGGCCATTGTGTTAAATTACCTTGGTCAGGGAGCTGTGTGGCAGAGGAGCTCCTGGGGAGGTGGGCCAGAGATGAATACAATTTACATCCCCTCGGCATTATTTCACAGCAACCTGGAGACCTGGAAGAAGTGACCAAAGGACTGCCCCCTTGAAGACTGGTGAAGCATATACTTAAAAAGCAGGAAGGGATCCACACTCATTTCTCTTCAGCACTGAAAAGTTTAGGGCATAATTACAGATAGTTGTGTCCTCATTACTGGGGTGTGGAATTGGATTCTAGAACACTAAAAGTGATCCCATCTTGCCATTGTCTAATGTTCGTTTCTTCTGAGCACATTCATGTTTATTTTCCACTTGAATCTCCAATGTCTATTGTGTAAGATAAGCCACCTGTGTCCCCTAGTGAAAGACCATAAATTCTGAAGTCAGCCCTTGTTCCCAAAACCAAGGAGACGAAATGAAAGGGATGCAAGTGAAGACGAGGTTGTAGGTGTGGATGAGGTTTCCTTCCTAAAAAAAACAAAAGAAAAGAAAAACACAATACATTTATTTAATCAGTTACAGAAGCCTTTAGAAATGAAGCTTGCCATTGTGTGAGCTTATATCACAGGCTCTCTGCTTTTTTCCCTCTCTAAAATCGACTGATTCTGAGGTCTCCTCTGAACTTCCCCTCCCTATACAGTGACCAAGAGATCTAAAAATAATGCAGATTTCTAAAACCAATGAGTTGAGAAATCTGGGATTGTTTTCCACCTACATAGCAGTGAAAAAAATTGGCTGTAGGTCTGTACTCTGTGATAGCATGCCCTCTGCCCAAAACTGAGACTTCTGTTAGCAGAAGGACTCTTGCACTGGGAAAAGCTGGAAGCAGGTCAATCTTTGCTGCTTGTCAAAGCTAAAAGTTAAATTAAATCAGATGGGTTTTTTAAAAAGTAAAACAGATGAGTCTTTTTCTTAAAAAAAAAAAAAAAAAAGCGTTGGTCAGCTAAAGACTTAGTATTTAAAAGCACACGTTCATTATGCCATCTGTGGAACATGCAAACCAAATACAATATCTGCAGGAGGCACACTATTAAAATTTGGCAACTATTTCACCAAATTTGGCCAGGTTCTAAGAACACTAAAATCTCATGCTCTCTTTTCTAGATAGAGTTCCATTTAGCCTGTCTTGAGGGATTTATGAAAATCCCACCTTTCTGCCAAGTACTATCTGGAATTTTAGTATTGTTTTTGCTTTGTGCTTTTGTATTTTAAAATTCTATTTTAACTCGTTTTTAAACAGTTAAATGGATGCAATTACATTATATTGTGTATCCTGTAACCATGTGAGTAGCCTTAATGAAAGGCTCTGGAATGTCACTGGCTGGATTATAGTAATTTTGTAAATAATTATCCTACCGACTTTGTAGTCCCCATATCCAAATTTATCTATGCAAAAGATTTAAAAGGATTTTAACCTCACCAAAAGAAAAGTTAAATTTAACCCAGAAGCTAATTATCTGTTACATAGCTGAGGTCCACTATTGATAATAAGAACTGAACTAGGGTCGTTTGGTGAACATCAGCAATTTATCCTATTGTTGGCCCAGGCTGGAAATGTTTCTATCTGAAGATAGAAAGCCATTTATGGAAACTTATCATTCACATGCAAATTATAGGCCTGAGACTATTCAATTGGTAAAGTAGTGGTGAATTAACCCAACAACCTATCTTTCTATGTATACCAAGCAGGCTGTGGAAACTACTGTAAAAGACAGTGGAAACCCAGCTAATTCAGCCAGTAGTTAGCAATTTAATGCAAGCAAGCCTTTTCAACTACACAACTACAGCTCCCTGAAAAACTTGATGTCCTCTTTCCTTGGCAAAATCATAGTCATTGCATTGGGTAGTTCTTAAACTGTGATACCTCATAACGTAAAACTCAGCAACATTAATTCTTTTAAAACTCAAGCTGATTTGTCTTGAGAAAAGGAATTTCTGATAAATACTGTTTATCTACTTTTTTCTTTTCTGGGTACTTTAACCAAGAACTTTTCTGGACTTTTACTGGCTTAGGGATGGAATGGTCTGGCCTCTTTGACTAACAGCCTCATGACTAGAGTTCTACACAGACCCTCTCACACTCCCCTAAAAACAAAACAAAGCAAACTTTAGAAGAGAGTCATGATTATATAGTTTAAGGAAAGTTTGCTGAATTGTGTTCTAGGTTCTGCTGCTCATCATTTTATTGTTTCTAGAGAGTAGATCATTATTTTTTGAAAGGGAGAAAGATGAAAACACAAAGCTGATTTTATTGCCTTCAACAATTACAATTTTCAGGAACAGGAAACTGGAACAGCAAAGCCTTGATAATCTAGGGGATCATTATTCAGTTTGAGTATTAGGACACCTGCCATGCTTTTCTGCTCCTTTACCTTTTGTTTCCAGGGCTTGAGGATATTTCATTGCTTGTTAGAAAAAAGATCTGGTAGAAGAAGAGAAAGGAAGAGCTAGGAAGGAAGAGTCCATTTTGAAAATGTAAAAAACTGTCTTGTTCTGAGGAGGGAGAATAAATGTGTTTGAAATCAAGGGTGAATCTAAAAATGAGGTAACAAAAGAAAGGAAAGGACAAGAAAAAAGTAGAAAGAAAAAATGGAAACAAAGCTTTTGTAAATAAGGAGGGGAAGAGGAGTTGAAGGGAGGGGAGAGGAATGGGGAAAAAGAAGAAGGAAGATATATCATGTACAGCTACAAATTCCCTATGAGGAATGTGATCATCGTGTATATCTAAAATGTACCAAGAAAAATATTTTTTAAAATAAAAATAAAATGAGATAACAGATCCAAAAATACCCAGCACAGAGTCTGCCTATAATAGGAACTTAGAAGGGGAGTTTTATAATCTGCACAACAATTGACACTCCTCTTCATCAGTAGTTCTCAGCCAGGGAGGTTTCACTCCCCAAGGAATATTTGGCACTGATTGCTGGAGACTCTCATGTCTCCAGAGACTGTCCTGTCTTGGGGATGACACTAGCATCTGGAGAATATAACTGTGAAAAGTCTTGAAAGCACATGGGAACTTGCTTCAGTGAAAATAGAAATTAAAACTGAGGCCACAGCATGGATTTACAGGAATAAACTTTGAGAAGGAGAGGAAAATGGGGAAGGGACTTTAGCTTAAGAAGAAATGCTGAAGGCAGCACAGCTGTGACAGTAAGTCAGGCTAGCCCATTAACAAGGGAAAGGGACAAGTTCTCATGGAATTGCTCTGGTGGGCTAGGGTCTGGTGATTTTCCCCTGGGCCATGAGTATGAAACGTGTTGAAACTTCTTCCTTGTATTCTAGGGGGTTTCTCCTTATGTAGGGTGTGGTCCAGCAGCTATCTCACCCTTGGAACTATTCGGTGTCCCCACTCCTATTACAGGGGACCTGGCCCTTGCAGTCAGAGTAGGAATTTGGGGGAGAATGTGCTCTATACATTGCTGGCAATGGGATAGAGAATCAAAGACATGCTGTCACTGTTCATGGGTAGCCAGTCATAGGTTAAGGCCCAAGAATTCCTCCATCCCTTGTCCTCATGAAGGTCCCTATCCTATTTAAGTCTAATTCTGCTGCCACCAGATGAAGCCAGTAACATGAGAGACAGCATGAGGGGAAAAGAAAGAGCAAGACTGGCACCAAACTGGCATGTTGGAAGGTGGAGGGCTTTCATTCAAACTCCATCTTGCCAGGGGCCACAGGCACAAAAACTTACTACACGAGGCTTTAAGGAAGTCTTATTTCCACCATAGGCAGATGGTGCCATACTAGCCATTAATTGTTGTAATAATCGTTTCTCTTTGTGTGATTTAGATGTTGTCCACAGGTCCCCAAGCATTCCTGTGTTCTTTGATGTTTGCCTTTACTCTTCTTTTCAGAAAAGGCAGGTTAATTATTTGAGGAGTGAGGGATAGTGGAACAAAGCAGAGCCAGTGAAGGACACACCTGGTAGTTCTAGGAGCAAGTGAACCACTCATCGGCTTCAGGTAGAGCCCTGTGATGCTTCTACACATTCTGCAATACCCAGGGCATCCCACAGCAAAGAATTATCTAGCTCTAGACATCAACAGTGCCAAGACTTCTGGTCTGCTGTGGATAAAACAGCATATACAGTGTCTTATTGGTACAATAAAGAGTAAGATGGGTGAGGGATTTAGCTGTGCCTGCCTCCCAAGCACAGGGTCCTGAGTTCGATCCCCAGTACTGAAAAACAAAATTAATAAAGAGTAAGATAGGTAATATTTGTTGACCCTTACTTGACTATATTATTTGTAAAAATATTTGTTTAGGTCTCCTTTTAGTGCCTGTTTTTGTTTCCAAAGTAGGTTTAGGCCAGGTAGGTTTCTTCAACAATATATAGTCTTCATCAAAACAAAAATTCTTAAGTATTACTAGTACTGCACCTCAGAACCGAAACCTTTAGAACCGAAATAGATTGATTTCCACAGATTTAATTTACCCTAATTTTTAAGAGATTTGCATAAAATCAGGGACACCTGTTTACTTGTTCCACCATCTTCTCTTCCTTCTAAAGAGATATTAATATGAATTCAAGCTACATTTTTCCCTTTTTTTACATTTTGAGGGTCTTGCTGTGTAGTCCAGGTTGGCCTTGAACTCACTATGTAGCCCAGACTACATAGTGATCCTCCTGCTTCAGACTCCCAAAAGCTGGAATTATAGGTGTGCACCACCACACCTGGCTGTTTCTCTTTCATTAGATATTTTATTTGCTTTAAAATACTGCGTAACATGACATAAACATTGCTTTAATCCTATTTTATTGTGATCCATAGTGAGTGGTGAGCTATATCCCCAACTCTTTTCATTCCTTAATTTTATTTTGAGACTGAGTCTCACTAAATTGCCCAGGTTGGCCTCAAATTTATAGTCTTCCTGCCTCAGCCTCCAGAATAGCTGCTGGGATCACAGGTGTACGCCACCATAACTGACCAACATAAACATTGTTCTTAAAAACAAATCTATACATAAATAAGAGGGTAATCCCTTTAAGAATTTAGACTATAGCTGATTCCCTCTTTGTCACATTCTTGAGAGAGAGAGAGAGAGAGAGAGAGAGAAAGAATAGGGAGAAAGAGAGTGACAGAGACAGACAGACTACAGATTGAACCTAGGGCCTTCACACTGTATCCTCAGCCCTTTCATTTATGTATTTATTTATTTTTATTTGAGACAGGGTCTCCCTAAGTTTCCCAGGGTGGGCTTGAATTTGCAATCCTCTTGCCTCAGCCTCCTAGAGTCCTGGGATTATGGGCATCAGACATCAGGCCCAGCTGTTATTCTACATCTTAATTATAGCTATCCTGACTCATTTTGCTTTTCTTCAAACACAAATGGCAGAACTATTGAATGTTTAGAAAATAGGGAGAAACTGTCAAATACTCATCATTTTATGAACCTAACATAACTATTATGTTTGGTAAATTTTCTAGGCTTTTAAAAAATGTATTTTTAGATGAGCTAAGTCATGAGTGTTTCTTATTTTAATCAGCTTTTTTTCACTTAACATCATCAGATGAATCTGTTTCTGTACTACGGAACAATATTTACAAGCTTTCAGATCTAATAATGGCCTCTTTCGTAGATTGTTGGATCATAGTTAGTTTTCTCTATTTTTGAAATTTTTGGTTGTTTCATTTGTTTGCCTGCATACTTGTTTGGGTTTAAAGTCACTATAAAATAATGCTATAGGAAACATATGAAACTGTATTAGTATTTCTCCTTTTTAGACTACATCACCACACTAAATGTCTGAGTTTTATGCAGAAAAAGATTTGACAGTGAATCTTTTCACTATATCATATTTATTTTGAAAGAAATACTTTTTCACTCTATGTGTGAAAAATAGACTTTAAACCTGACAAAAAGGACAGAAAGCGAAGATTTCTCTCTACTGCACAATTAACTTGGTAAATTATGAGAAAAAATAATATTCTTTTCTATATAACAATAAAAATTGCTGGTAAAATGTGAAAGCATTTGGAGCTAATAACACAGAACTTTGCGTTCCAAATGGGAATCCTGCAAATAAAATATGTTTTCTATTCAATTAATCTGGAACCTCTAAAGATAAAAAAATTAACATGGAAAAAACCCCTATAGTTATACATTGTTATATCCCCAGACTGTCCCAGTTAAATTTAAAACAACATAAATATAGTGCAAGTAAACTTTCATATATTGTACAATTAGTAATTATTCTGAGGATCTTGCCTTAACACATTTTATATTTTACATGCTGGTGAGCTGTCATGTCATTTAAAAGTTTCTTTTAAAATAAATTCCATCCTGGCCAGGGATTTAGCTCAGTGGTTCTGCTGTCTGCTTCGCCAGCACAAAGACCTGAGCTTGATCCCTGGTACAAACAAACAAACAAACAAACAAATACATAAGTAAATAAACAAATAACATCCTGTGCCAGTTACTGCTAGGTATGGGCCTTCTCACAAGTCCTACCTTGTCTTTCCTTTCACAAAGCCCTCCTTGACACCCTGATGCGTTGATGGTTACCATTTTATAGGTTAGAATTCATCATGTTCATGTCCTCCTGCTCCAACTCCAATGGACATAGGCTCATCAATCCAGACCCTCACTGCATGTGAGTCCCCTGGGGCAGAGAACTAAGAGGGTGGGCCCCTAACTTGAAGGAAGGAAACATTAAAGGGAGCAGTATGAATGAGGAAGAGCAAAGCCATTATCATAGTGTTCCAGTTCCCTTTGCAGCTTGGAGAATCAGAGGTGACAGACCAAGTCTGACAGAGGCCTGAGGTGCCTCCATTGTGACAAGCAAGCCTGACACTGACAGCTGAGCCTCGAAGGGAGGAATGCATGTTGGAAAGGGATTCCTTTGTTGTTCCATGTTTTCTTCTATGTGTTGGAGCTTTATGCCCTCTTTCCTATCTTTGTTGTTGATTTTGGATGGCACAGAATGTTTCTGGGAGGCTTAGGCTTGAGGTCCAACCTGCAGTGTTTTCCTTCCTTTTGACCCTGTTTTTCTCACTCTCTTTTCTTGGCTGAATTTTCTGAAGGAAAGGTTTGTGTGTTCTTGTCCTCTTGGTCCATAGTCTTCATATAGAATAATATTGTGTATAATTGCTATATAGTCTCAGAAACCACAAGAGGGCTTTTCTTTGAGCAGCTTAGCGAGTGAATTCAGCAGCAAAGTGGGAAGTAGTCCTCCAGCCAGGAGAGATGGTGCTCATCCTGAGTGCCCAGATTCTGGGCAGGGCACCATGGACACAGTGTATTGTGTCATGTCACAGAGTACAATCTTCTCTTCCTTAGAAAAAGGAAGCATTTTGCATAGAGACAAAGGAAAAGGACCCACAAATGTCATCTTTTATCTCTTGTTTTCAATGGGTGGATGTTGGAATTTTTGTTTTTGACATGTATTTGTAAAATCAATCTTGCCAAGATACGAGTTGTTTTGATTTTTCACTATTATTACCTCTTGTTCCTCCTGTCTTGACTGCTGACGTTCCTCAGTGATTCTAATGTCTATTTTATGGGAAGCAGCCTTCCCATGGTTTCCTTTTACACACTGGCAGGGCTATCTTTATACTTAAAAAAAAAAAAAAGTAAGATAACTGTCACTAACCTCACGGGGGATTTGCAGAAAATCATTTAGCCCACCTTGATTGAAGGGTAGAGTCCTTATTGGTTTTTTTAAGCTTGTAATAAATGATACCTAATTCAGCATTATTGTGCTACCTCAAGGGTAAAAATGTTTTAAGGTTATTTTGGTCCTGAGTTCTACATACAGTGTTTGAAATGTCTTTTAATTGGAGGGTTTTTTTTAAGTCATTGGGGTGAATCTTGTTTTAACCTATTTTAACCTGTATTTTAATCTCAGAAGAATGATTGGAAAGCAATTTTTGTTTTGTGGTATTGGCCAAATTTATATTTAGAAGTCATTAAGAATTACATCATTATTTGCCATAAACAAAGTTGGGATTTTTAAAAAGGAAACTCTAGGGCTTGGCTTCACTCTAGGTTAATAAAGACTGACAAATCATGTCTGAAAAAAATAAAATAAATAAAATAAAAGGAATTCCAGGTGCCAGGGATTTAACTCAGTGGTGCCGCCTGCTTTGCAAGCGCAAGGTCCCAAGTTCGACCCCTGGTACCAAAAAAACCCCCAAACAAACAAATAAAATAAATTCTAGTCTAATGAATCAGATCATCAAAGGGCAAAAGGATCTTACTGATAACACAAATTAAAGCCATAATATTTTGAATATTAGAACCTAAAAACTCAAATGTTCTCATTAGAAATAAGTTGAGTTTTTGCTTTTATCATCTCTTGTCTTCCTTTGAATTGAGATTTGTAGTTGAAGTGTTGAACATGGACTGTATGAGCTTATGCTAATTCAATGTTATGTTGTACATGTGAAGCAGTTTTATAAACCCCAAGGACAATGAACATCTAATATGAATGTTTTCAAAAGTGCATTTTGAGCATCCTATATATGAAAAGTAGCCTTTTAAATTGGCCTAATGGGAAGAAATCCAAGATTTGGCTGTCTGGCACACTGAATTTAATAATTTATAGTGTGGATTTGTTTTTCCTTCACATACAACAATAAAGATGTTTGGATTGATAAAATAACTGCAGTTAGGGCTTTTATTGGCAGTACCAACCAGGAACATAGATCTTTGTCTTAGAAATGAACATAAGTCTCTAGATAGCAAATCACTGGGACTTGGTTCACAATGTAAATAAAGCACATTGCCAGAAAGACATTTAAAATAGTGTTTGTACTGGGAAGGTTCAAAAAATGATTGGAAAACCATCAACTTGTTTTGCACTTTGCGGATTATCTAGGGAAAATATTAAAAACCTGATGGGCTTTTCTGTGTCTGTAGCTAACCTCTGTGTTACTAGACAATTCTTTATCTCCATTTTGGGCATTATCATTATGAGGTCAACTCTACTTAAAATAATATGAGTGATTTAGGGTCCTATACCAATGGTAACCATTCTTCATGCCACTGGATCTGTACCGTTATTCATATGGGCCATGGAGAGGTGTTTTTAACTGCTTATGCAGGTAAATTGTGCTAAAGTAAACCCCAGGCTGTAAGCATTTCCCATTTACAGCTAACAAAATTAATAACTTTATAAATTGCAGGTAGTCTTCATGAGTCTATGCAAAAGTTTTTGGGACTGTGGACTTGTAGCCCTAGATGATATTACAGTACAGTTGGGAAGCTGCTGGTCTCCAGGTAAGAAGGCAGTTATTTCACCTGTTTGTCTCCCTGGCATGTATGTCACACTTCTAGTTTCTCTAAGAGCCTGATGCACTTCATGTATGCCATCCTTTGCTTTTCTTGACAGAAGTGCCTTAGTACAGAGCTTTGTAGTAGGCTTCAAAATTTAGAAATGATGATTCACAGGTACTGTGTGTCTTTGCACATGTGATTTCAGCCCCTTTTTGTAAGAGAGGTGGTAACACCTACCTGAATATTGGGGATAATATATATATATATATACACACATTCCCTGGCATAGGACCTACCATAAAATGGTGCCTTAAAAAATTCTTCTATTTTAATTATAATAGTTAATATTGTTGTTATTATTTACATCTCAAAAAATGCATATTTTACCCAGGCATGGTGGCACACGCCTCTAATCCCAGCACTTGGGAGCCTGAGGCAGGAAGATTGCTATGAGTTCGAGGCCAGCCTGGGCTACATAGCAAGACCCTGTCTCAAACAAACAAACAAAACAAGCATATTTTCAAGTCATATTGATGAAATTCTTATCTCACAGATATAAACATATAATTTTAAAATTTTAATAAAATATGTATTTTCTAAGTGAATTAAATGACAATGAAACAGTAGACCAAGCAGCAATGATAGTGACAAAATAAAGTCATGGCAGCCAACTATGGCTACAACGTCCTATGACAAAATGGTATATACCTCAACCTAGATCACTGAGCTTAATCTACTAATTATGTTGCATCCTAAATTGTGGAATATCTATTTCTTTAAAAATAGAGAATTGTGGTGTCAGTGTAGTACAGGAGAGTAATATCCATATTTATCTAATTAAAAGACAGTTTGAAGTCCCCAGTAAGTTGTGGGGAGCACTCTTCTAGGAATAGTAATTTTTTAAAGGATGTTCTGTTTAATGGAGTACATTAAATAACTGGTGTCCCCTTGCCATGATACAACATATATTTTCCCCTGTACAATTTGAGAAAGAATATCAACAACCTGCTTTCTCAGAAATATATTAATATAGCCCAGGGATTTAGCTCAGTGGTTCTACCGTCTGCCTCACAAGTGTAAGGTCCCGAGTTCGATCTCCGGTACCAAAAAAAAAAAAGAAATATATTAATATTTGAAAATGAAATCCCTTTTAGTAGAAGCTAACTGGGTTGGGAAGATTCAGATTTAGTCAAAGTAACAAAAGCATCAGGAAATCAGTGTCAGGATCTTACTTTCTTTAAATGAAATGGAAGGAAGCAGAGTGCTAATTTAAAGCTCAGCTTTGTGACATATCACTTTGACAAAACAAAACAAAACAAAACAAAGTAAATTTAAAAGGCCAGGGATTTAGCCCAGTGGTTCTGTCGCCTGCCTTGCAAGCACAAGGACCAGAGTTCGATCCCCGGTACCAAACAAAACAAAACAAAACAAAGACATATCACTTTGAAAGGGAAAATATTGAAAGATCCCAAGGAATAATAATTTTTAAAATTTATTCTTTAGTACAAATAATTACCAAATTATTAAAGAGCATTCAAAGACAAATATTTCTCTTTGAAAATGGAAAATAACACTCTAGGTAGCAAAATAACAATTCCTAATATTTGTCTTGCAAATAATTTCTAAGAACTTTGGGTTTAAATACTTTATATCCATCATCTCATTTAACCCTCACAAACTGGATTAATGTTCCCATATTACACATAAGAATACTGAGGTTCAGAGAAATGAAGTCGCTTGCTGTACACAGCTATTTTTCCAGAAGTCTGTTTGATTCTCTCACATGTCTCCTTCCCCTCCAAAGCAGGTATAGAAATGCTATGAGGATGTCCTTCACTCATCCCAGATTTCTGAAGACAGCTCCTGCCTGCATTAAGCAATTTGATTTTTTTCATATTTTCATAAAGGCAATAGACCTCCAGTTTTCAGAGTTTTGCAAGCTAATTCTCACAAATACCTTTACAAGATGGGAAGTGTCTTTCTCACAGAATGCCAATATTAAATCTAGATTTTTGATTGTTCTCTATCCCTATAGCAGGAGCCATGGTGGGCCACAGATTGTAGCTAGAGAAGTGACGGTGGGGTATGTGGGCTGCGCTGCCGGAGGGGGCTGCCTCTCCATCATCACATGTGGCCAGACAACACTCAGACATGTGGAGCAGACTACCAGGGAGTGTGGGATGCACATTCATTGAAAGTATCTCAGCAATTGCAACACCTGCTGTTTCCTTGCAGAGAGCCTCCCACCTCCACCTGGACAATGCACTTTTGATCAAGATGAATGTGCCTTTACTCAGGAGAAGAGAAACCGGAGCAGCTGGCACAGGAGGCGAGGAGAAACTCCCACTTCCTACACAGGACCAAAGGGAGATCACACTACTGGGGTAGGTGAGTTATGCCACATGGTGTCGTTTATTAAGGAAACCTCCCAAAGTAGCATCCTAGATTGTTTGGTACATTTTGAAATGTGTAAATTTATGTCTTGTGTTTAGAATGTGCCACACATGTTATTCTACTCACGTAGGATAATTGACTAGGTGAATTGAAAAGCATCCTTTCTGTTTTTAGCAATATGGCTGCAAAGAAGCTCTGAAAGACTTACAAAGATAGGCATGCAAACCCTAGAAATAAGATTAAAAACAAGGCAGAAAAGGACAAAAGTAGAACAAAATGGTTATCTAAATTGGATTCAGGGATGAGGCATTATATTCTACTAATATACAGAATGTACTGGCAAACAGGAGAGGAGGCATACAAGTCAAATTCCAAGCTTTCTACAGCTAAATCAAAGATGGAAAATTCATCTGTGAAACATGATTCATGGCATTCTTAAGATAAAAACAAAGGGACCAGTGTGCCTGGAGTGTAGGCAATCAGGGAGTGGATTCTGTAGAAAATGTATAAGCTACAACAGAGGAGACTAAAAGTTGGTCTTATTATCATCACCATATATTAGCACGTACAAACAATGTCAATGATAAACATGCCATATTGTGTGGATCTTTCTCACTGGCCCCCTTCGTTCATTTGGTTTATTGGTTGGATCAAAGCACACTATTTAATCCAATATTTAGTATGCCCTTGATACTAAACTCATAGAGATATTTCTTCAAGGATCCTCACAGAAGAACCATTATGAGAGTAAATATGAAGATGAATTACATTGTGCTATATCTTATGGTCTACCTTTAGATAAGACTATGGTATATATAACCTGTTTGTGGAATGGCTAAACTTGGTAGGGTTCAATCACAAATAGATTTATTTTTTCTTTCCATCTCTCTCTTTACACTTATTCTCAGGATTCATCACCTCTTGGCAAATCTCTTAGCTTCCCAATTCTGTTGAGATATTAGAACAGTCCCACATTCAGGTACATTAAGGAGTCTGATCCAAATCAAAACTTCTATTTGTTATGCAATCAAATATTCTTTCTTTACTTCAGCTTGGGCTAAGGATGATAAAAGGAGAACTATCCATTCTTTCTTTTTCACCTCTCCCCTGCCCTTCACCTTCATAATACTTTAGTCTGGGCAGATAAGGGAGAATTAAAAGAACTTTAAAAATATTTGATGCTCTTTTAAATTCTCTCTTGGCTATTGACTGTCCTTTGTTATAACAGACAGCTAAACTCTGGGAACCTCTGCGTCTTAACCATTTCTGGTTGACCTTCTGTGACCACTCTTTTCCCCCTTGGTGCTTGCACTACAGAGGTTCTTGGATTCCTGGATTCCTCCTGAAAGTTTTAGCTTGGGTTCTTTGAAGAGCATTTGGTTGCAGTTACCTTTCTGGTGAGTATTCGTTTGGTCTCAGATATTAATGCACTATTAATGCAGCCTCATCCTATGGTGACCTCGCTTGTCTTCTCACTGCCTCAGCAGATTGTGGAATGTTATCGCTTCAGTAAAGGATGCTGGGGAAGAGATTCAACACTGGCCCAGTGGTAGACCAGATGCCCACTTTCAGCTTTGAGTAGAAAATTCTAAGAATCCTTGAGACTAGATCTGTGAAGATAATGGGAAGTTAAAACAATAAAAAAAGAAAGATTTCTCTATGTTATGACCATTTTGAGAGCTTACAACAGAAAACAGAACTCAACCTGACTTAAGTGGGAAGGGAATCATATTAGACTTAATAACAGAGGTTAGCAGTGGGCATAGGTTGATGCAAGAGATAAAAATATGTCATGAACAGTTTCTTTCTCCCTCTGCCAATCTGTACTGGTTTTTCTGAATTGGCTTCAATCATAGGCAGAGTCTCTTATCATGGTAATAAGAAACCTGTAGCAGCTGTAGTCTAATGGACTATCAACACTAAATCTAATGGAAAGAGATAACTCTAGCAAAAATAAGAAAATTGAATTTTACCTATTCTTATTTGGCAACATCTTGAAGGCAGGGTAGAATAAAATTCACTTTTAAATTCCAACAGGACTCAGTATTGTGCCTTATACATGAGGGCACTCAAAAGTGCCTATGAAATGAATCAATCAGGCAGTCTTGTATCTATCCATAAGCATTCCCTGACACATAAAAGAATAACCATTTATTTAGCAAGACCACTAGAAAAAGGAATTGTGGCAAGGTATCTTTTTTTCATTACAAAAGAATAAGTCAGTGATAAATCAGTTTTAGCTAAAGTCCATTTTAATCAAGACATTGCATGGATGGGCATTTTTCCTGGGAGAGAGTTGATAGTAGATAACCATGTTACTACAAAATTACTACAAAAGACTACTTTAGGTAACAGAGTCCATGGAATGCCTTGACAGGAGGGAAGACAGAGGAAAACTAATAAATAATAGAGAGAAGAAATCCCTGAAAAGGGCAGAGACGAACATCAGGCCAGAGTTAAAACAGACCCAGGGACTTTGGAGTTAGGGTGACCCAAATTTCCCCACTCACTTAATATGAGACATTGAGAAATTCAAATCTCCATGTCTGTTTCATCATCTAGAAAATGAGAATAATTACAGCTACTTACCTATTTACTTAACATCAGAGAGTTTTGTGGGTTCAAGGTATTGGCAGGGTTGGTTTCTCCTGGGTTCTCTCTTAGGCTTGCAGAGCACTGTCTTCTTGCTGTGTCTATACCTGGTCATTCCTCTGTACCAGCACATCCCTGATGTCCTTTCTTGTGACACCAGTCATATTGAGTTAGAGCCCACCCTCACAACCTCATGTTAACTTAATTACCTTGTTAAAGGCCCTACCTCCAAATACAGTCATATTTTGAGGTACTGGGGCTAAGACCTCAGAACATGTATTTTGGAGAGACACAATTCAACCCATAACAGACTTTCTTCCAGAAATGGGGTGGACACTAAATGATGGGGTAACTTAACTTTTAACTTAAATAGTTACCATCTAGCCTGTAGCCTGGCCTTTATGTCTTTATACTAAAATAACTTATTGTCCAGTGTGGGGAGGTAGCTCTGTGGTAGAAGGCTTGCCTAGTATGCACATAGGCCTTGGGTTTGATCCCCAGCACCCAAAAAAATGAAATAAAATACAGTAACTTTATTGTCTGAATTGTTTGATCTGTACACCACATTCTACCTCTTCGCCATATACTCAATATATATGAAAATCTAACAAATACATTCAATGCATATAAAATTACTCATAATTCTCCTCCTTTATTTAAATTATTCCTGGGTTATGGGGACATGTGTTAAGTAAAGTGGTCTATGTTTAAAGAAAATGATGTGGTTATGTTTGCTTTTTCTCTTTGAAAACATAAAGAATGTTTCAGTTGACTAGAGTGAAACTTTATAGCAAAAACTGAACGCGAAAACTTCTTAGCGTATTCAATATTTAGAGTGAATATTTGATGCGTTAAATGAAATTCTTTGGTGCACAGCATAGAGAACGCTGACTTGTTTAGAAGTTAATTACTTCTACAGTCTATCTGCTTCTTCATTCTTTATTTCACCTGTTTCAATACAAATTTCCAAAAGGTTCTCAAAGTACCTTCTAGTTTTCTACTAAATAAATTTTTTGCAGGTTATATCTTTGTATTCCCATGCACAGCAATGCAAATGAGAAAATACATTTGCTATGCTAGGCCCAAAGTAACTACAGGATATATAGCACTGAGGTGAAGGTATTTCATTTTTATTCTTTAAATTACTTTAGTAACCTGGGCATGTTGGTATGTACCTATTATTCCAACAGTCTGGAAAGCTGAGGCAAGAGGATCACAAAGCCAAATCCAGTCAGAGCAATTTAGTGACTTAGTAAGACCTTTCTCAAAATAAAAAATGTAAAAGGATGAGGATGTAGCTCAGTGAGTTCAATCCCCAGTACGAAAATTGTTTCAATATCCATTTTAATAGGGGAAATAATAAAGCTAGTGATCATTTACTGAACATTTACTCTTTGTAGGCACTGTGCTTGGAATCTTTACATCCGTACCACAACTTCTCAAGTCAATGGAAGGTACTATTTTTCAGATGAGGAAGCAGAACTTCAGAGAATGCCCTTCCAGTGCACAGTCCTTACCCATAGACTGAATTTCAGTGTTTTTTGATTCTACTGGCCATTGCCTATACACAGTGCCTATCAGACTCCCAGACTCCATGATACTAATAGCCCTAACCTGGAATAGCTGTGGCACCCTGTATGTGAATATCACAATGTTTCAAATAGCAGCATAAAAAATCACCCTAACATCCTTCACACCAAAATTTGGAGGATGGGACTAATCTCTGAAATGTTATATTCAAACCAGTAGGATTTTTGGACATCACTAGAAATTCATTCAGCAAAATCTATATTTTTTTCTGAACTATTTCTAATGTCTGTATACTAATATTGCAAGTTTAATTTCAGAACTACAGCCCAATACACCATTGCATAGCCTAAACACACAGAAGAGTGGCTTCCTCTTGTCCTGGCCTCTAATGGTGTGAGTTCTATAGGTTGATGTGTTTGGTTCTCAGATAATAAGGTGACAAGTGCTACTCATTCAAAAATAAAAGGAGAAGCAAACAAACATTTAAGGGCCAGGTGTGGTGGCACACACTTGTAACCCCAGCACTTGGGAGGCTGAGACAGGACAATTGCTGTAAGTTTCAGGTCAGCCTGGGATACTAGGCCTAAACTACATAGTGACACCCTGTCTCAAAAAACAAAAAACCAAAAAGACAATAAAATAAAATAAAACAAACATTTGTTAAAGCCACCAATATCAGAATTACATGTATATAAGAATCAAACATCTTAGAACTGAGAATAATCATAATTGTTACACAGTCCAGAGTCCCTGAGATCTTGATTGATCCTACATGTCCTGAGAACCTATTATACATTATAAGCCAAACCATGCGCAAATGCTCAGAATCATAACCAGTAAAGTAAGGGTTAAGTTATAGAAGTAATGGAACCACACCAAAGGACAGCTAGCTGGCTGTCCTTGGGAGTTGGACTTCATCAGGAATGGTAGGGAATGAGGAAACATGTTGGGATAAAGGAACAGCAGTTGTGAGGCATGGGACCATTTCGCAGTGAGGCAGCTTTCAAGAACTCTAAGTGATTATCCTTGGCTGGTGCATGTAGGATACTATCAACCAGGATTCTCAAACAATGGTATCTAAATTGTAAATCTGTCTTCTGGTAGTATGTTTGGAGATAGGACTCCAAAGAACAGGGTGCGTGATAGAGGCTGGAAAACAGGAGAGAAGAATCCATACAAAGATTCACCCTTGACTTGGCTACTACCATGTTCAAATGGTTACTTGACCCTGGGGACATCTAAGCTCTTTTATAGACAGTTACATCAGATGGTCAATCAATATAGGCCCGTTAAATAAAAAGAAAAGCTGGGAAAAGCCACACTATAAGTATGTCAGGTCATTGTGTGTGTCTGTCAGAATCAATACATGATCTCAGGTTAAATAAAGACAAGCCTTGGGAATGGTGCTCTTCAGTTAGCTGCCAAACAGACCAAATGATACCAGTCATCCAGGAATGGACTTTTGGGAAGCTCCATACCTGCACTGCTCTGTACAGACACCTTAGTTGTAGAACTCTTACTTTTTAAGTCCTTTACAGAGTAGGAGACATGGGGATTGGATTAGGGCAAAGGTAACTGTTCTTACCAAGATTCAATCATTTTTCTTGAACAAGCACTCTTGGATTACTGCACGCTTTTAGTTAATTCCCAGAGTTCTGAAAAAGTTGATTTTGACACTTTTTGCCAGTATTCTTGTTGGAGGAACAGGTTTTCAGAGATTCTTACTCCACGATTCTAAAAGTTCTGTACCCTGTACTCACCCCATATGTTTGTTTTTTGAGAAGTTTGAGTTCTTTGGTGAAATTCCACATTTTATAATCTCTTTTTAAAGTGGTGGGCCTGGTTTTTTCCGCCATCAGTGACATGTGTGAGTACAGACCACTTTGCATTCTTGTCAACATTTGGTATTGTCAATCTTTTTAACTTTAGCCATTTAATAGATAGGTAGTGCAATATAATTTTCAACTAATTTTTGGCTTACTGATTGTGTCAATCAGTGCTTACTAGAGAAACAGATTTAATTCAAATTTACAGATATATAAAAATTTACAAGATTGTCTTACAATGGTCACCCACAGAGTCAAGTGGAGAAGAGTATAAAAGGCCTGTCTACACACTGGAGATCTGAAAGATCCAGTTGAAGGCCTGGAACTCAGTGTAGTGTCCTGGGAAAGTCTGTATCAGGAGGCTGAAGGATCTGCACTGAAAGGCTGAAGGGTCTGTGCTGGAGGCTGAAGGGTCTGTACTGGAAGCCAAGAGGAGACAGCGTCCAAGGTGAAGGTGAAGACTGGAGCTCCTCCAAAGAAACAGAAGGGAGCCTTCCTTCTTCATTTCTCTTTTATTCCATTCAGGCAACAAGCCTATTTGTTGCTGTCACTCACACCCAGGGTGGGACTTCTGTCTTCAGTAAATCCCTTCAGCCACCCCCAGAACTATGCTGATCTAATTTAGTTGGGCATTTCTTACTCAAGTTGCCATGCTCAGGTAACAGAATGATGTTGATATATTATTTATTTTCTTGAATACATTATTAAAAGTTCATATTATTAAATTAAGAATAAGAGGCCTGCCCAGATTCCATCTGTAAGTGCACACAGATTCCAGCAAGAAGCCTGAGTGGACCAGAGCTGTGAGTGTGGGCAGGTCCCAGCCAGGGCCCCACCCAGACACTAGCAGCTTGGGCCCACAGGCCCCAGACAAAGGCCCACCTGGAAAAGAGCTATGCAGGTGGGCAAGCAACAGCCAGAGACCCACCCATATACCATTGGTAAACGTGTGCATACCCCAGCCAGAAGCCCACTCAGACAACAGCTATGCAGGGGGACAGGCCCCAGCCAGAGGCAAGCCCAGACATCATCCCAAGTGTGCACAGGCCCCAGCCAGAACCTTGCCAGGACAACAGGGCAGCACAGGGATCCAGAAGGCCACCATTCTGAACCCAGGAATTGGCACAGTACTCACCAGCAGAGAAAAGGCCTCTTGGTGGCTTGCTGAAAATTGAAGACCACTGGGTGAGCAAAAAGTCACCTCAACAGAGGTGCACCAGGCTGCATCTGTTGAAGTAAGAAGACATGTGAACAAGACTCAGAACCAGACTTCTAGATCACCTAAGGCAACCTCAAGGGGCAACAAGATGGAACAATCTGATACTCAACCACCTGGACTCCCTGAACTGGCAACAAAAGAGGATCTAGAAAAAATAAAATCAGAAATTATTTCTCAAACAACAACAGAGATTGTGTCCATAGTGAAAAACATGATTAATAACTCTAGAGCAGACACAGATAAAAAAATAGAGGAGCTGAGGGATATGATGGAATCCCAGAATTGGAAACAAATGAAATTCATAAAACAGATAAATTAACAATCACAGTTATTTTATAGTTCTTGTTCAGTAACTATATATGGGTTACCTGCTTCACACATATGGAATTTGTCTGTTTCTAGATACAAGCTTTACCTGTTTTTTATAATGTCTGGTAAATTTGATTGAATACTGGACATCGGAAATGAAAAATTACAAAATTTCTCCAGAGAGGATTCAACCTATTTTCTAAGAGATGACTAGAGTAGAGTAGTCCTCTTAGTCCAGTCATAACTGAGCCATCTTGGAGTGGGGCTGTAATTTTGTTTTGCTGGATCTACCTCTGGTTCCAGGTGTATTCTCAAAAAAAAAAAATAATAATAATAATAACCTGAAGGTTAGTGAGGAGCTGCCCTCCCTTGTATGTCCTAAACTTTAGTTTTGTCTCTTTAAGTGGTGAGAGTGTTAAAATTCTACTTGGTTCTGCATTTGACTTCTTGCCTCTTGTTCTTTGCAAGTTAAGAACTGGTAAATTGCCAGGTATAGTAGTGCCTGTTTGTAATTCCAGCTACTCAGGAAGCTGAGCCAAGAGGATCGTAAGTTCAAGGCCAGCCTAGGCAACTTAGGGGGACCCTGTGTCAAAATAAAAAATATTAGAGAGGTGTATAGCTCAGTGTTTCCTAGGTTCAATCCCCAGTGTAGGGAAGAAAAAATAATTGGGAAATGGCTTGAGGGAAGATTGCCAAGTGATGGGCTCTTTTCTTTTGTTACTCTCTTTTCTCATAAAACCTGGCCCTCCAAGACTTTGGCAATATTGAACTCCAATTGTTGTTGCCTTCACACAGTGAGTTGGTTTCTCTGTCACTTAGCATCTGCCCTCCACTTATCCTTTAACTTAGTAGGGAAATGCCTCAAAGGGAAAAGTAGCTCAAAGAATGTCAAGCTCATTCATTGACTTTTGGTTTTTGGGGGATGTTGGTCCCTCAAGACCTTGCTGCTTGGGAAACTCTCTGACAGGTTCAATTCAAGAATCTCTTCTCCCTCCAAAATTATCCACTTGTTTTTTTCAGTGTTCTCAGCAGACTGTAAATCTGTGTCTTAATTACTTTTTCCATTTCTAAGACAAAATACCCAACATTCACAACTTAAAGGAGGAAAGGTTTATTTTGGCTCACCATTTGTAGAGGTTTCAGTCTATAACTGGCTGGCTTGGAGGCATGATGGCATGGAGGAGAAATAGTTCATGGCAGAAGTAGCAAAGCAGCAGCAAGCCTCCCTCTGCCCTTTGTCCCATCCAGGCTACAAGCCTTTTGGATGGTGCCACCCACACCCATGGTAGGACTTCCATCATCCACACCCAGATCTATGCTAAACCAATTTAGTTATCACACACCCTTAATCCTAGTATCACACACCCTAAATCCAGCCCCCTCTGAAAAGCCCCAGCTATGAGCACAAGAGCTTTCAGGGGATATCTAGATACAAACCATAACAATCCGCTACCAGTAACTCAATAGAGCCAGAAGGAGGTGTCTCTGATATCTCACTCTGTAGAATCATTTATTTAACAACATAATCAATTTACTTAAAATTTGAAGGCATTTGCTCTTTTCTTTTGTACTACAAGCCAACCAATGTTTAGAATGAAATCTTAGTGTTTCTGGCCTTTTATAACTGTATTCTTTTGTTGATACTTTCTTGTTCTACCCAAGCTCTTGCTGTGTCTGAGATTATGGTATTATATGGTGTTTTGTTCTCTGGCAAGGGGTAGTAGGAGGAGAGCAGTAAGATTTATAAGCCTTTGGCTACACACTGGCTGATTGACTATATTCATTTTCTACTTCCTTCCATTTATAACTCTCTGTCTTGAATAATAAATATTAGGGAGCAATCATGTTAAAGAAAAAAATTATTCTATGATACTAATCAAAGGATAGTAATACAGACTTTATTCAAAACCATCACAACTATGAAGGGCTTATGCAGTGGAGGGGAGAGATTGGGCTCATCTTTGAACACTGCATGGGCAAGTGGGAATTAGAATCAAAGAGCCAAGTGAGGGTCAGTACATAAAAAATAAGTAAAAGGTAACATCAGGGGTAAGGGGATTCTGGCTAAACTGACTTGGAGGATTCTTGCTGAAGACAAGCCAGGGTGATCAGAGGTTACCTGGGGAGTGGTGGGGAATGGGAGCCTGATCACATGTCAAGCGTGATCAGACAACAAGTGTTGGGGGTGAGGAGATTTCTGTTAAATTAGCAGGGTGCTTGATAAATTGGATTTTATAACAAAGTACACAGATAGGTCTAGGTTTAAGAGTCTGACAACAGTTTGGTTAAGCAAACAATCCTTGTCAACTATCAGGGTGCTAGAGTGCTGCACATATTCCTTTTATTCAGTTACTACAGAAACCACTTTGATAGTCACTTGGTATTTTTCTAAAAAGTGATTTACTTGTATATAATAAATGTAATGTTGTTTAGATGAATGTCACTGAAATTTCTCTTTAACAGGAATATATTCTGAAATAAGAAATTTTTAATTGACTCAAATTTACAACAGTTCATAACTTTCTTTTAGGATGCTGGGAATGCTTTTTTAGGATGTTTGTAGATCAGCTAAGGTATCACACACATTTTGACTATTACTGAAATCCATCCAGGGAAGTTTTAATAATTATCGGCTTGGATCCTGAAGTACAATAAGAAACTTGAGGATGCTGGTTGTGGTAAAACACACCTCTAGGAGGCTGAGGCTGGAGGATCACAGGTTCAAGCCCAGCCTAAGCAATTTATCAACTTAACAAGATCCTGTCTCAACATAAAAAATTTACAAAGGGCTGGAGACATACCTCAGTGTGAAGCTCTGGATTCAATCACCAGTACCACAATAAATAAACATACACACACACACACACACACACACACACACACATATAAGAATACAGCAGCAGCAGCTTTCCAGTGATCAGATGTACAATTTAATTTAAATAATAATGAAATTACACCTAAAAAGGAGATTTCCTACTGCCTACATTGCTGATTTATTGCATTTAGTCCTAACAAGCTTTTCTATGCCTCTCTTCAAGTTTAGGCTGTAAAGTAATGACATTATACAAAATGCCAGAAGTTATATATACATTAGTAAAGTAATAGACTCAAACTCTGAACCCACAACACAATATCTTTCTCCCTGATGTCTGCAGGTATCTGGTGTTGGTAGCCACAAGGTCCTTTCTGAATTCATGTAATGCATTCTGGAACATTCAAAGGATGTACCTGTACTCCTAGGGTGCATTCTACCTTTTAACTTTCCATCCTTAAAATCTGTTAATCTCTACTTGGAAGAACACATACAGAGAGAGGGGGAGAAAAGAGGAGAGACATACAAAGCTGTTTTACAGATAACTGCATTAGATGGTCAGTCAATATAGACCCATCAAATAGAAAGAGATGCTCAGAAAAACCCTATTATAAGTTTGTCAGAATATTATGTGTCTATTTCAATCAATACATCATCGTGTATACAATTCCAAGGTAGAGTTCCTAACTTACTAATGGACAATGTCATAAACCTTTCCAAAGTCTAGGGTGGTATGCTGTAGTCCAGCAGAAAGACCAAACAATAAACAGTAAGTTGCCTCTATCCATTGCTGACAAAGAAATTGGGATGTGGTTACATAACCTCTCTGAGCCTCAGTTTCCTCATATGTAAAATGATAATAATCCATTCTCTGCTAATCTCTTAGGGTTCCTGAGATGATTAATTGAGATTATAGGATTTAGCTCAGTGGTTCCAGCGCCTGCCTCACAAGTGCAAGGACCCGAGTTTGATCCCCAGTACCAAAAAAAAAAAAGAGATTATATTTGTAAAAAGGCTTGATAATAAATGAACAGTATTATTATTTTTATAATTATTGATTCTTCTATAAAATTTGATGTTTATCTCTGAAATAATTTCCTGGACTCAATGTTTTATGTTATTTGCATTTCTAAAAAATAGAAAACCACAGCCTGTGAATACTAGTAAAATTAGTAGAAATTAGAAGGTTTGATAGAAGCCTTAAGGCAATGTTTCCCAAATTGCTTTACATCTACCATCAGGTAATTCAAAAGCATACATTTTTTTTCATTTGCCAGAAATACCCAGGTATAAAAAGTGTATATAACCAATACATCAAAACCATTATTTTGGGCTGGGGATTTAGTTCAGTGGTTCCGCCACCTGTCCCGCAAGCACAAGGACCCGAGTTTGATCCCCAGTACCAAAAATAAAAAAAAAAAACACCATTATTTCATAGACTTATGGCTAGTTTTTGGTTTTTATGTATGAAGTTTCCTATTTGAACAGTATTAAAGCAATGAAAGTGGAAGGTATTTAAATAAAACAGTAAATGAATACAGGTAGTATATGGGAAGACAAAAAATTCCTGCAAGTCATACTTGTATGACTAAACTTGGGAAAGACTTGTAGTACTAGTCATTTTAGTAAAGTAACAACAAAAACAAACTAAAAAAACCTAGCCCTATCATGTGACTCCTAC